TGTCGGCTATTACTTATGATCTAGTTAGCTTCTGGGCTGGACTTTATAGGGTTAGGATTTAGAGGGTCAATGCGTAAACAAAAAACTTTCCTGTCTTCTACTAATTATAAAGGATATAAAATAAATAAATATGTTGTTACATTAACACACAACACCATCTAGTTCCATGGTAAGCTAAGTGGCTTGTGTTATGGATACCAGATAGTTGATACACTACACATATATAACTTTAAATACATACATATTATAAATGTAAGCACCCATGACTGGAGTACATTCGTGCTCATCACACAAATGTATGCTGCCAGCGGGGCTTGAACCCGCGACCGCTGGCACAGCAAGTAGGGTCACTGATTGGTTATAGTTTTTTCAGTAAAAGAATACGATTATCAAAATTATGAGACTGATGACAGAAATATGTTTACAAATACAAAATTGTTGTCAAACATCCTGTGCACTGGCATGTTTTAAGACCATTAACAAAAATATTTAATTGAATTGGTCAAACTTTGCGTTTGAATGGCACATTTGTATTCGCTAAAAATAATTTTTTGAAATTTGAAAGGCTTCACGGGTACATGGAAAAAAGTCCGAGAAGCCCAGGCACCCTGATAGTCTTTATTAAAACTAAAACCCAAGATGCTCCTAGCATAACATATATTTATTGTATTTGATGATTTTTTTTAAATACTGTAAAGCTATAAATTAACTACATAAAATATTATTAACAAATAGAGAAATCAGTTATTGTAGACCGCAACGAGCTATTTATTGGAGTATAATATGTCAAATCAAAAGTGGTACACTAAATTTTGTGAACTAATGAATATTACTATTATTATTCTTTAATTTTAGCCAAAGAATATTTATTTTAGAGGTATAGTCTATGGAATGTAATACTTACTATTCTTAAACTCATACCTTACTTATTTCTAGCTTTATATCTTCTGTACATATACCTAGGTAATAAAATTCTATTGACTTGAATCTGTACATTAAATAATTTTTGGAAAATCTTTTTGAAATAGTCATTATTATCGGTAGAGAGACCGAATCTATAATTTTAAGAATTTTTGTCTGTCTGCCTGTCTGGGAACGCATCACGAGAAAACCACTGGGTAGAGTTTGATGAAATTTGGTATAATAATAGCTGGTTATCCGGGTCAACATATAGGATACTTTTTACTGCGGGAAAATATCTCATCTTTAGGAAATCTATACTAAACGTTAAAACGTAACGCTAGTTTCTTATAAAATGGTTTGAAATGTTTCATTTCTGAAACTACCAGTCTGATTTAAAAACATCGGCATTTTACAGTTTATTTATTGAGGATAATCATAAGCTGCATAGCGCTACGATCCTTTAGAGGAGAATTATTATAAATAGATTTGTGGGTAAAGCAGCGAGTAAATTTATAACTATAATAAAACAATAACTTAGCGATAACGATATGCGCGTTTCACGTAAAAATTACAGAACCGATTTTAACTAAATTTTGTATATTAATAACTTGTTACTTGGGTCAACATTTAGGATACCTTTTACTACATGAAAAACTTTCATTCCCACGGGAAAATACAATACCTGGTTCTATCGAGTCGTTCTTAGAATACATGTCTAACGCTGGCTAAACCTTAAGAGATAGGTACATTAAAACAATGTATTAATAATATTGTTGAAGGTCTTAATAAGGCCTAATATACATTCGCAATAACTACTCATATCTATGTAAAAGGAAGCGATGGTAAATCACTAGCAAGCAATACAAAAATAAATAGCAAAGCTACTTAAAAATGTTTCGAATCCACAATCTTTAAACTAAATCTGCTGTCACGACGTAATGCACCTACATACCTATCGATTATTATTATAATTTTGCATGGAAATCAAGATATTGAGAGACGCAGTTACTGACACGCACAACGGTCTGTTTCTGATAGCACGAGGATGACAAGAGGTGATAGAGAGATAAATTGGCATCTGGAAGCTAGATTGATTCCGACGTCATTGGAAACGAATTAGGGTCGACTTAGTACTACTATACATAACCGTTTTGGATTTTTTGGCTTAAATATGTGATTGTTAAAAATTATTCTAAACGTTTTTTAATAATAATAGTATTCACAGACAGCGACACCTTTTGGGAAATCTTTTTACTAACAATAGCTTATGTGCTAATTCGGGTTACAACCTATTTGTGTACTCATCAAAATCTGTACAGCTATAATAAAAAATGCTGATTAAATTTTAATTCTATAAATGCTAAGGCGTTAGTGGGTAATCCTATCACATTCTCAATTTTAGTACAAAAGCTGTGTAGACAGTTAAGCCCAATTCTTATTTTTTAGCTTAAATTAGCAATAATCGAAACCTTGACCTCCCCTAATCCTAGTCATACAAACGTTTAAAAAACGGTCGTTGAAAATGTAAGCCTGACAGAGGAATATTTGGATCATAAATGGAAATCTTGGCTAAAAATATGAGTGTCGATATTGAAATAAATTGTAACTCTCAAAGGGATATAATATGTGGAAGTATTGATACATGACACTCTTGAAAAACACATGAAATATTTGTAAGCAAAATATTTTATGAAAGGTGACATTTCTTTTATTTAGAGCAGCTACGAGATAGAAAGTACGTAAGATAAAAATAATTTATATTTCAGTGTAAATAAATTGTTGAATTAACTATTATTTTTCATATACTTTAGTATATTTAACCTTCAAAATTTTTTCATAATGCAGTTCAATTATTCAATAGATACATATCTATCTAATATCTATATATCCTTATATATATGTATAATACATATATGTATGTATACTAGCGACTCGCACTCGTACCGCTCGTTTAGTAAAGCTTTTACGCTTAGTATAGATTTCTCAGAGATGAGATATTTTTGCGCAGTAAAAAGTATCATATACGTTAACATGGATAACCAACTATCATCGTACTAAATTTCATCAAAATCTGTCGAGTGGTGTTTTACACAGAGAGACAGACAGACAGACAGACAGACAAAAATTGTAAAAACTATAGATTCGGCCTTTGTATCGATAATAATGACTCTTTCAATAAGAGTTAGAATTTCATTACATGTATAGGATAAATAGGCAAAGACAAAGTTGTTCATCTTTTTCTTATATTATCTTTTTCTCTTATGTTCGCTAAATAATTTACTTTTTATTGTTTAGTAGCTATTGACGAGTTTTAGTGTTAAAAAAAAATATTATTATCAAATTTCGACCACTGGACGAACACTACTACAAATAAAAACTTGATAGGTTGGTGAAGTGATATCATTATAACAAGATTCACAGAGTTGTAAGTATAATGCGATCCTTCATATGGTTGTGACGAAGAATCAAGCAAAAGATGGAAATTTCGTAAGTTACAACTCGCACGTAAAATTGTAGACGAGGGAATGACAAGTGGCAAGATGTGGGAAACATTTGCAAGTAAAATTCCTTTACGAACCTTTTTTTTTGTTTTATGGAGTTCTAGAATCTATTCAGTAGGCATCAGAAGGTTGTTTTGTTTTTGATATATGGGAAACTTTTTGAAGATTGAGTATATAGAATACTTTGCCATTGGAATATTTTTCATACGATTTCTCTATTTTAAGAACTTTTCTACACTATTTGATTACAGGGTAGGAGAGAAAGCTAAATAATTTGCTTGATGCTCATTTTTTGTGTCAAGTGGTAAATAATTGTCATTATTTCATTATATAACGAGTGTATGTATATATTTTAAGTCCAATAGACTGTAACGTATTACAACGTTATTACGTAAAATAATAAACATTTTAGGCATATTCTCTTTTTAATTCGCCTTATACGTTTATAATTTGTACGTTTTATAGAACTCTGAGTGAATGAAGGTCATCTTGAGAATATATAGATAGATTGTTAACATCGACTATCTATCTATACATATAATATAATTGTAACAAAGTCGAATCTACAGATTAAATATTTTTTGGAAAATTTTATTGAAATATACATTATTATCGATACAGAGGCCGAATCTATAGTTTTTAGAATTTCTGTCTGTCTTTCTGTTTGTTACCGCATCACGGAAAGACCACTGGAGGGATTTTGATAAATTTTTGTATGACGATAGCTGGTTATCCGGGTCAACATATAGAATACTTTTTATTGCGGGAAAATATGTCATCTCTGAGAAATCTAAACTAAACCTTAAAACGTAAGTAGAGACGAACCCGAGCGGAGCGAGGGTGAGTCGCCAGTTCACACTAAAATTAAAGTTGTAAAAATAATACTATCAAATTATCATATTTAACTTGTTTAACCTTGTTCGAGGTGAAAACGGACGTGCCCATAGTTAAACACAAGGTGTTAACTGTACAAATATATTTAGTGATATTTTGGTCATTGCGGTATATTTTCATGAGTTTAACTCAAATTTTACGGTAATAAGATAGTTTGCCAAACAAAAATTTTGTTTCAAAATTAAGTTGCCAACTAGTACCTAGTTATGAGTTTTAATGGTTCTGGTCGTATAAAAATTCTTATACAAGTACAGATATGCTTATACCTATTTGTTTTATCGCGCTAGATTCTTTTGTTAATCTTAGAGTGAAAAAGTATATACATACGCAAAATTGCTATTATATATACGCAATATTGCTTTTTTTTTCTTTTTTTTTCGAGGGTAGGAGTGAAAGACGACACACGATTTTTAACAGCTGTTTTTTATTTATATTATTATAAAGTATTTTTCAATCGTTTTTACAACTTAATATGTGTTTGTAAGTTAGGCCTACTACCTGCAAGAGTTATCCTTTATTTATTTTCACTGTTTTCTTCACTACATATTACAATGGAGTCCATTAAGGAATCACTATCTGCACTCACTGATATGTTCAATGCGAGGATGAACGATTTCCAGCAAGACTTAAATAAGACCTCATCACCTGTCACAAATCATTCTTTAGGTTGAATGTCTAGCATTAGAAATTGACCGGCAAGAAATGCGAAGGCGGCATAAAATGATATTATTTCATGGAGTGCCGGAACAGAAGGTCGAGGACACAACAGCAAAGATTACTGGTTTGGTCGCTGAACACCTGGACTTGTCAAATTTTTCTTCTGCAAGTATTAAGCAGACCTACCGCTTGGGTCGTTCCTCTGATAAACCTAGACCGATTGTCGTAAAGTTTTCCGATACTGCAGTGCGTAATAAGGTATGGTTTAGCAAAACCAAACTTAAAGGGACAGGCATCACACAGTCCGAGTTCCTTACAAAGAGCAGACATAACACCTTCTTGGAGGCTCGGCAACGCTTTGGTATTGGCAAGTGCTGGACACGCAATGGGTATATCCATATAATTGCTTCTGATGGTTCTCGGCATCGTGCAGAATGCAAACTGGATCTCAACTCAATTTCTTCCAATCAGACTAAATCTCCGACGCAAATTCCAGTTGCAAGTAAGAATACAGATAAAGTGATAGTTTCACGCGTTAAACGTGTAGTAAAAAAATAATTTGTGTTACTTTTTCTATTTTCTATGCAAAAAGTTATTGTTATTCCTTTTAATATTCAAAACAGTTCAGTTCTTTATTTCATATTATGTTTCTTGTTTGTTTATTTTTTGTTATGATTAGGTTGTCATTACTGGATTTCATAGATTAAAACATAAATTGTCAATAGACAACCAACCTCTGTACTGTTTGTATTGTCTATGTAATTAGTGTCTATGGTTGCATAATTTGTTTACTTTCATATTTAATGTTACACTTGTTTAATTCGTTGTTTAATGTTACTTTTAATTAATTTAATATTTTGCTTTTAGATTTATTATTTATTTGTGGATTGCATTATCTTCCTGTGTTGTGTTCGAACTTTTGTTTATGAAGTTATTTTCCTTCTTCTCTTGCAACTGGTGGGTAAGTAGGTTTAAAAAGTATACTTACGCATTATTACATTACATATCTTTTTACATATTATTATATACAAATTTTAGTATTATCTTTTTATATATAAATATTAAAAAATATATCTTTATTAATATTTTTTATTTTATTGTATTTTTTTTTCTTTAGTTTTTTTTTTGTGTATTTTATATATTTGTTTGTACGTATTTATTTATTTATATTTTATAATATATTTACAGTCTATTATTACTTTATTTTGCATACATAATGTATGGAGATAATAGCTTGAACGATTCTTTTCTATCACTTTCCTCTAACTCTGAAAGTCCCAGCAGCAATGACAGCTTTTGTAGTATCCCCGCCCTTAATGATACACTTGATTCGCATTTCTCAGATGCTCTGAAAACTTTTAACTTAATTCATATTAATGCACAGAGTATTCCAGCACACTATCCTGATATGTTATCTAGTTTTGACAATAAAAATATTCACGTTATCCTAGTTTCCGAATCGTGGCTTAAGCCGTGTCTACCGTCAACTTCTTACGGACTCCCAGGATTTCATTTGATTAGAAATGATCGTATTGGAAGATGTGGTGGTGGTGTAGCCATATATCTGCGTTCCCATATTCCCTTTTCCATAATTGACTTGTCTCAATCACACGGCAACGCAGAGGCTGAACACATGTTTATTGAAATTATTTTCTCAAATGCTAAAATACTCCTGGGTGTGTACTACAACCCTAGTTTAACAATTGATTATTTCTCTTCATTTGAAATCCTGTTAGACAAGTATAGACCTCTTTACGACCATACTCTGTTGATGGGAGATTTTAATACGTGTCTCTTAAAGAATGACAACCGGGCAAGCCGCCTTCGTGATGTAGTAGATGGAGCCAATTTAAATATACTTCCATTACGTCCTACTCATAAGTTTCCAAATTGCTGTCCCTCGCTCCTTGACCTAATTATCGTTTCTTCCACTGACCACGTAATTAAACACGGTCAGTGCTCTGCTCCAGAGTTTTCGTATCATGACCTTCTCTACCTATCTTATAAACTAAAGCCGCCAAAAGCAAAATCAAGAGTTCTTCTGCAGCGCAATTTTGCTAGTATGGATGTAGAACGCCTACGAGAAGACGCTGAACGGATTGACTGGTCGGTTGTTTTAAAAGCAAAGACCATTGATGAACAATTGTCCATATTCACGTCACTTTTAACTGGACTTTACGATATTCATGCTCCTGTTCGACCTGTCCGAATGAAGCATCTCCCGGCTCCTTGACTTACCCCAGAGATTAAAAAACTGCAGGTGAAAAAGTACATGGCTAAATCGAAGTTTGCAGCAAATCCTAGTGATAACAATAAAAGGAAATACATCAAGGCCCGTAATCGTTGCAATATGGTGTGTAGAGATAGTCAACGACGCCATATCCATAAATCTGTAATCGACGAAGATGATTCAGAAAAAATCTGGAATTTTCTTAAATCTATTGGAGTAGGAAAGGCACAACAGTGTATCAATCCCCTTAATATCGACTTAAATTTGTTAAATCAGCATTTCTCACTTTCTGGTACTATAGATAGTACAAACAAATTAAATACAATTAATCAACTTTCACTTTTACCTACTCCTGATATTCCATATTTTTCATTTAGTCAATTTTCCATTAGTGATGTTAAGAGAAATATTTTAACTATAAAATCTAACGTGGTGGGCGCGGACAGCATTAGTCGTAAAATATTGTTCCTGTTCTTGACTTAATAGCTCCTACAATTACATCAATTTTAAATTCCTCCTTACTTTCCCATAAGTTTCCTACTGCCTGGAAAGATGGTCAAGTAATTCCCATTCCAAAAAAGTCTAATCCATCTTCTTTTGCTGACTACCGTCCTATATCCATTCTCCCTTTCCTATCGAAAGTACTGGAGCGTCTTGTGCATCGACAGTTAAGCACGTTTCTTTTTAATCATAATCTTTTAAACTCCTTTCAATCCGGTTTCCGCATCGGTCATAGTACGACTACTGCATTGGTCAAAATCGCTGATGATATTAGAGAGGGTATGGACAGTCAGAAGGTTACCGTGATGGTACTATTAGACTTCAGTAATGCCTTTAACACTGTTGATTTTGATATACTAATTGCCATATTAACTTCTCTTAACATATCTCCTGAGGTGATTGACTGGTTTCGTAGTTACTTGTGTGGCCGCCGGCAGCGTATACGAATTGAGGATTCCTTTTCTGATTGGAATACGATTAATGCCGGTGTCCCACAAGGTGGCGTGTTGTCTCCTCTCCTGTTTTCAATTTTCATTAATTCTATTTGCCATCAAATTTCTTCTCTCTACCACCTATATGCCGACGACCTACAAATTTACGCAACCACATCTCTATCAGACTTACCTCATACAGTTAATTTAATTAATAATGATCTTGCCAGAATCTCTGCTTGGAGTAAATCATATGGCCTTGATATTAACCCTATTAAATCGCAAGCTATTATAATAGGCAGCCAGAAACTGCATTCTAAAATTACTCGGTCATTGATACCATCGGTGATGTTAAACGATGTTGAAATTCCTTTTACCGAAACAGTAAAAAACCTAGGAATCATTTTTGACCAGCATTTATCCTGGGGGCCCCAGGTAAGTGTACTGAGCCGCAAGATGTTTGGAGCTGTTTCCTCCCTTCGCAGGTTGAGAAATTTTCTGCCTGTACCTACTAAAATTGCGCTGGCAAATTCACTTTTATTACCAATACTTGATTATGCTGATATTTGTTTTCTTGACCTTAAAGAGGAGCACCTGAATCGACTTGAGCGCCTTCAAAATCTTTGCATACGGTTCATATTCGGTCTCCGTAAATATGACCACGTTTCTCACTTTCGCAAAAAACTCAAGTGGCTCCCAATCCGCTTTCGCAGGAATACTCACATACTTCATCTCCTCTACTGCGTGCTGTTTAATCCTTCTACCCCTTCCTATCTCAAAGAGCGTTTCGAGCTTCTAAGGAATTCTCATACTCGTTCCCTGCGTTCTAGTGAAACGCTTATCCTCAAAATTCCTTCTCACTCCTCTTGTTTTCTTACCAACTCCTTTTCTGTGAAAGCTGCACGTCTATGGAACTCTTTACCAGTACACATCAGACGGGCTGATAATTTGGACAAGTTTAAGATGATGTTAAAAACGCATTATTTATCTCTTTAGTTGGTCTTATTATAATATATTATGTACAATATATTTGATATTGTATGTATCTTATATGTATTTATTTGAAATACGTAACTTAAATACTGATTATATTTTTCAATTATACTGCTTGTATGCATATATGTTTGTATGTATGTATTTGTGTATGTATTTATGTATGTATGTATGTATGTATGTATGTATGTATGTATGTATGTATGTATATATGTATGTGTATAAGTATGTATTTATACAAGTACACCGCCTACCATTTTTATATACTGATTCCTCTACCCTAAGGTTGCCTGGAAGAGATCGCTTTTAGCGATAAGGCCGCCTGCTGTGCATCTTTTTATTGTTATGTATTTCACTTCTTTATTTATTTTCTTGTGTGGTGTGCAATAAAGTGTTCATTATTATTATTAGCTTAAGATTTGTCTGGAAAAGATATTGACATATTTTTATCATTATCTTTATACGATGACGCTTTGAGATATTATGTATGTTATATTAAGGACGAGGTACACAATAATATCTCGTTTTATTTTAACTTATCAGAAATAAAAATCTTTATATTAATTCAAACTCTGGACTTAGGGAGTTCTGTTTATTTTTATAACATCACTAGCGACTCACCCTCGCTTCGATCGGGTTCGTCTCTAGGTACGTTTTAACGGTGTGTATGAAATACAAACCTTTGAATTTCTGGGCTTTTCTATACCGTAATATGCATGTATTATACATATAAACCTTCCTCTTGAACCACTATATCTATTAAAAAAACGGCATAAAAATCCGTTGCGTAGTTTAAAGATCTAAGCATATATAGTGACAGACAGACAGCGGGAAGCGACTTTGTTTTATATTAGTAATGATTGTAATAATCAATTGTAGAGATATTTATTTATATTTATAATTAATCATCGTATTCAGCCTTTTTTAACATTCCACTGCTGGGGAAACCCCCTTTTAATACTTAATTCAATTCAAATTCAAATGTTGGAAATTCATACTTAAAAATATTAGAAGTTTTGATCTTCACTTAGTTCCTCAAGCAAACGCGTTACCACTAGGCTTTAACTGCCCAAAATAATCAAAGTGGTCATCATGTAACTGTCTAATAAAAACTACGTACATAAATATTATCTTTTAATTTAAAATTGTTCGCAGGAAAAAGATAAAAAAATCTTTAATTATCTTTGTTTTTCTGTTATAACATATATTCGAAAGGTTTATTTTTATTTTATGTATTGTAATAACATTTTACTATGTAGAAAATAAAAATTTAATGTGTCATTAGGAAAAGTTCGTAATCTTTAACTGGCCTTTTATGTAGTTGTTAATTAAAGCCCTAGATCTAATTATTTATAATAACAGTGTTTTTAATAGCTTTAAATATAAAAAAGCAAACTTTC